TTTGCACACAGTCCCAGGGCCTCAGGTGCAGAAGGCACTTACAAGGCTCCGGCCCACACAGTCACAGGTCTACAACTCTGGATGCGCACGGTGTAGCTGTGCAGTCAGGCACACCCCTAGATGGACATACAGTCATAGACTTTTCTCCTCAAGCTTCCTCCTCTCTTCTTTTTTGACGTTCTTTTTTTTTGAGGGACAGAGAAATTAGAGCAAAGAGAGTAGGGGGTAGGGGAGTTCTAGAGGGCCGAGTCATGGACCTGAAGCAGTGCTCAGTGACTTCAGGAGCTGAGATGATCCTGGTTGCTGGGGGGAGGGGGGTCTTGGGGAAACCTGGCTCCTAGGAAGCAGCCTCTATCCCCACCCCAAAAGCAAATAAGGAACCTAGCCGCCCCTGCTGGGGTTGTTTGAGCCATTCCTGGGGATGCTCACGGGCCCCCAGCTGAGTTCCTGCCTCCCACCGTGAGTCTGGCCCCTTTACCCACCTCTGCCCTCCTGTCTAAACTTGGAAGCCTGCCGTAGGAGGCAGTATGTTGGTGAGTGTCTGGGTGAGTGATGTGTATTTTTGACTTGGAATTTCGCTCCAACGCTGTCTCCGCTGTGTCTCCTCCCTCCTCGCTTCTCTGCTAGTCTGTAACTCTCACCTGTCCCTGACCCCGTCGACCCCTGTTCTGGTCTCCGTTTCTGCCGCAGCCTCCTTGCTCAGAGCTGGGAACTGGTGGTGAGGTTCTTCATTCTTCTCCAGTTGTTCATACTCAAACCCCGCCCCTCGGCCCGCCTGCCCTGCCTCTGGGGTCAGCGGGAGGTTGGGGTGGGGGGCAGGGGGCTCAGCTGGCTGCTCAGGACATCCTGCGCTTCCTCAGTACTGCAGCTGCGGCCAGCGAGTTTGGGGGGCTGGGAGTGGGGGGGAGAAGGAAAGGGGGTCGGCCACTGCCCATGCTGATCTCTCAGGCTGGCAGGCTCAGCCAGGGGACACCAGCTGGGTGGAAGGCCTGGGTGTGCAGGCCATGGCTAGCCAGCTCCCAAACAGGCCGGAGAGGGGGCTCCCTCCACACTGACCCGCTGGAAGATAATTGCCCCCGGGGGCGGTGGCAGGAGTTGGCAGGACCCGGCTGAGCTGGGTCTTTGGCAGGACTCACAGTGGCCTTTCTCCACACCCCTGGCAGCTGAGACCCACCTCCGAGATGCCCAACAGCTGTGTCTGCTTTGCCCAGCCTCAGAGCCTGGTTCTGAGGGTACAGCTGCCCAGACTTCGTGAGGCCCTCTCCCATGCGCTGGCCCTCCAGCCCAGAGTGGCAAGTCTTCCGGAGAGGGAGTTTGAGCAGGGGACATCTACCATTTCTGGCCATGCTCCCCTCTAGCTGTGGCCCCAGACCATGGATGAGGAGACACTGGTAGGGATTCTACCATAGAGAATCCATGGCTGCTACTGAAAGGGAAACTGAGGCTGGGTCACAGGGAACACATAGCTGGATGAAAGAACAAGATATTGTTCCTCTAGCAGGTGATATGCTGTAATGGTTAGAAACAGGGATATATATATATATATATATATAGGAACTGGATCGCCTGGGTTTGAATCCCAGCCCTGCCACTTGTGGGCTGTATACTCCTGGGCAAGCGATTTAACCTCTCACTTGCCTTGTCTGTGAATTGAGGAGGATAATACCTACCTCATTCAGCTTTTTGAGGATTAGAGGAGTCAGAATACATAAAATGCTTTAACAAGTGCCTGGTGCCTAACAAGCACTGTATGTGTTAGCTGTTACAACGAGGAAGTCTGTAGGTCACTTCTTGGAGAAGCTCGGTGGAGAATTGGATCTCCTAGACATCACAGGAATGGGATGGGGATGGGGGTGGTAGGGATAGTGGGTCGCTAATCTCCAGCCTCCTCAGCCTCCACGTCCCCTCTCTCTCCCGCATGAGTTTGTGCAGGCTGGAGCCCCTCTGCCTTGCCCTCCTCTGATCACCTTTTAGCTGCTTCTTAAATGGAGCTCTTGACATCTCAGCCTGGACACACCTCCCCAGTTAGGGGCAAATGCATGAATGTTTGGGCATCACTGCATCTCTGGTTAGGACAAGTCTGAGCACTGGGAATGGGGGAGAGAAAAAACAAGGAAAGCAGGCTCTCTCCATACCCCCGCTCCTTTCTTATGAGTAGAGTACGGCACCCTTCCTCTCTCCTGGGGACCCAGCATCTCAGCTACCTGCCATTGATCAATCAACCAGGACCCAGCCCGGGCTGACAGATTCCCCACCCCTGCATGGAGGGGGCATTAGTGTGGAGGACGGCAGCAGTGAATAAGGAGGGTGTTAGGCGTGGCACCTCGAGACCCAGGGTCTGTCCTGGGTTGCCACCTTTCCTCTGCATCTGGTGATAAGACTCCTCTCTCCCCCCAAATCCCTTTTATGCAGCTCCCCCAGGACAGTGGTGGGGATATGCCTCGTGGTGGGCCACTGGGGAGCCTCTGGAGTAGGGAGCTCATCTCAACCCTGGTTCTCATGGCTCTAAAGGTGCTTGGGGGACTTTTGTGCCTCTTGGGGAGGGAGGCGAGCGTGACCATGGCGGGAAGAGCGCGGGCTGGGAGTTGGAGGCTGGGTTTTCACCATTTGCCAGTTTCTGACTCTGGGCCTAGGTTTTCATAATCTGGAGACAATGATGCCCACCTCATGCAGAGTGAGGGTAAATAACATAACGTGGGGTGACACCTGTGGTCAGTCGGTATTGCATCCTGGCACTGGCACGGCAAACAACGCCTGTGGATTCTCCTCTCTTCCCAAGGCCTGGAACGCTCCAGGGTGCGGATACACACGCTGCTTGGAACCAGAGACAGTTCTCCGTCTCTCACAGAGGCATCTGGGGCTGCTGGAGGGAGGGGAGCATGTGGTTTTCAGGCATATGGTGTCGCCTGCCTTCCTGGCAGGCCAGGGCTGGGGCACCAAAGGGGACCTCCCGCTTGCATGCCATTGTGTGAGGTGGTCCAGAGGGAGGGGTCAGAAGTTCTCTGGGTAGACAAGGGGAGCAAGATGGAACTTATTGGTGCCCAGAAAATGCTATCCTTGGTCCCCTGCTTTGGAGGTGGGCACCCAGCACTGGGGACTGGGGTTAAAGGTTAGGGCCAAAGGCACAGCCACACCTCCAGCAGTGGCAGAGCAGCGTGATTGGCCCCAGCCCCCAGCCCTCTTCCTCCTCTCTTACTCTTGTAAGGAAGAGATGAGCTCTTGGCTCCTAGAGCCTTAGCTGCCTGTTTCATTTTCTCTTTTACCCAGGCGCGTGGGGCGTGGGCGAGGGAAGGGGAATGGGACCTGAGGCTTTGGTGGCTATCAGCGTCTTTGTACACATCAGTGAGTGGGTGTGTTGTGCATGCAATCCATGTATGCGTGTTTTGGGCATGTGTGGGCTGGGGAGGGCTCTGAATATCTGCTGGAATGGGGTACCCAGAGCCCGAGGCTCTGCGCATGCGGCGTGAGTGTGTGTGTCTGCACGTGTCCGTGTGTGTGCGGGAGACTCAGCTGCATTTACTTGCTCGCTCTCGCCTGCTCTCTCTCCCTCGTATGCGCTCCCCTCCCTCCCTTCTCCCTTCTCCCTCTCTCCCTCTCTCCCTCCCTCCCTCCCTCCCTCCCTCCCTCTCTCTCTCTCTCTCTCTCCCCCCCTCTCTCTCTCTCTCTCTCTGTGTCTCTCTCTCTCTGTCTCTCTGTCTCTCTCTCTCCCCCTCTCCCTCTCTCTCTCTCTCTCTCTGTGTCTCTCTCTCTCTGTCTCTGTCTCTGTCTCTGTCTCTCTCTCTCTCTCTCTCTCTCTCTCTCTCTCTCACACACACACACACACACACACACACACACAATTTTCAATCTCTCTGTCTCTCCCCATTCCCTCCCTCCCTCTCCTGGCTTCTCTCTCCCCGCTTCTCTCTTCGTCCCTCTCCCCCACCTCCCCTCCTCGGCCAGTTCTGCTTGGGTGGGGGCTATCTCCCGCCTCTCTGGGGTGCCTGGGAGAACATCCCTGCTTTTCTTTTCCCGTCCACCATTCCCTTCCCTCCTGGGCGTGCTCCCCAGGGCTTGCAGACTCCTCTCTGCAGCCTCCTCCTTGGAAGAGGGGAGTGGGGAAGGGAGGACCCCAAGCCCTGTGCCCCTGATGCCATCTGCACTGAGCGCCTTGGCCCTGTGACATTCATGCCTCCAGCCTTCAGCTGCCCCACCTCCCAGCTCCGATTACCCGCTGGCTGCTGGGGGGAGGGCAGGGAGAGTGTGCCCAGCTTGTGGGTGCTCCTAACTCTGCCTTCTTGGTATTTGGATCTCCCCCTCCATTTCTGGGGGGAACTGGGGCCGGGGGCACGAAGTTCTGTGGGTTGACAGGGAAGGGGCTGAGCTCTTGAGCATGGATGTGGGCACAACCATCGTCAGTATGCGTGGGGGGGATGGAGGTGAGCCCTAGACTTGGGCGCCCACCTTAATGCCTGACTGGAGCTGGCCTGGGGTGGGAGGAGGGACAGGAGAGCAGCAGGTGGGTGAGGTTATGGTGGGGTTGGGCGGGAAGCACAGTCTTTGATGTTAATACTGGGCATCTGGCCCAAGTCAAGGCTACTGTTTATGTCTTTCTGTCTGTGCCTGCAGGGGGGAATTTCCTGTTATATTCTTTTGGAGGAGAGGATCCTTTTGTTTAAGTAACCTATCTCCCCCTTATATTATATCCCCCAACCCCATCTCCCATTCTCTAGCCTCCAAGGCCCCACAGTGGCTAGGAGATCAGACTTAAGGGTCACTGCCCTTACGCTCCAGAATCCATCTCATGGGGGCCCAGCGAGAGCCCACCAAAGAGGCTGCCTCAGCCCCTGCCCACCCACGCCCCCCCCCGCCGCGCTTGCCAAGCTGGTGCCTCTGTCTGTGTACTCCTCTGCCATGTCACACCTGCCAAATAGTACCTCCCTTCCCGCCTTCACTCCTCCTCTCTCTGCTGGCACTAGGATAACAGCAGGTTGGGTGGGGCAGTCCCCTTCAGTCCATACCTGAGAATAGAACGGGGGGATCTGGGAGAGGAGGAAGAGGTCCCAGCCCTGAGAGGCATCTACTCCTCAACCTGCGTGCCTGTGTTGCTGCCGCAGCCTCCACCATCTCCAGACTCCCGGGGCTGTTGGTGTTTGTGGCTGTCCATGGGAGCCCACGCTGGCACAGGCAGCAGTGTCTGCACACAGATGCCTGTGTTTGCCTGTGCATGCCCGTGTGTGTGTGTGTGTGTGTGTGTGTGTGTGTGTGTGTGTGTGTGT